CACTCCAGCGTTAACCATTATCTATTGTCAGCCCTGTACCGCTACCCTGTTGGAATTTAGGTCCTACATGGAGGTGAAAGGACTACAGAAAAGACAAAAATCTGCCCTTTCAAAATGGAGTTTGCAGCTATCTTTGCCCTCTCACATTGACCTGCGAATGCCAGTGATTCCAAGTAGACAGCCATTTCAAATCCATTTCCGATGAAGCAACGTTAGTAAAGCCCATTCCCTTCTCCCAACTCCAGCTGTCAAATCCTAGTAAAGATTTTAGAAATCTAATATTATGTGATGAGCTGAGAAAAATTGCAGCAGCCTTTGAGATGAATTGCAGTGTGTGGTGAAGCCTGACCTGCAGATTTCACAACCGTGCTCCATGTGTGGTTCAAATTCTTAAGCTATCCACTTGCTAAAAGCCCCATAGAAAACCAAATTCAAGCAACATACTCCTATCTGCAGGTTTCTGAGTACTGCTGCAGTAGAACTATCCCCAGGTCTACAGCATCTCTGTAAATGTCACTTGAGGATAGCGGGTGTTGGGAAAAGACACCTTTTTGATGACTTTGCTGGAAGGACTGGCACAACTTGAACTGGATGCTTTTATGTGTCTGACAGACTTTTATTAGTCAAAATAAATGGGTTTAAACAAAAACTCAAATAAAGTAAAACAGCAGCAGCAACATAATCAGCATATGGCTGCAGTAATACAACAAAGATTCCAGATGCAGTTTCAAATTCCCCATGACCCGGGAGTGTCTCAGGCGGAGTTTTTGCAGAAACTCCGAGACTAAGTGACTTTTTGTGGGGAATTCTAGTGTGTGTGTGGGAGTGATACACAAAACCAAAGCTCCCAGAATTCACTCTTTCACACCCTTTATTTCACCAAAAAACACAGAGAAAAAAAACACACACATCCCACCTCATTTTGGCTTTCAAGTCCTTTTTAATGGACCATGAGTCTGATCCAAAATGTCTTCCTATGGCAGTTTGCTCCTTTGTCAGTTTCAACTTTGACACCTGGAGGTATGCACAAACCACGGCAGAAGCTTGTGATCTCTTTGTAGCCCCTCCCCATCTCTGCTGTTTAACCAATAGCACGCCGGTGAGGTCACTGGTGATCCCACCAAACCATATCACCTACCCAGCATATTCCAGGAGGAGCTGCAGCAATCACACAAGCCATCAAATAAGAGTCTGATTTCTTCTGCTCCGACCTACACACTTAGGGCTGGTCCACACTACCTGCCTAATTCGGCGGGTAGAGATCGATCTTCTGGGATCGATTTATCGCGTCTCATCTGGACGTGATAGATCGATCCCAGAAGCGCTCCCCCGTCTACTGCGGAACTCCTGCTCGCCGAGAGGAGGAAGCGCTGTCGACGGGGGAGCCTGCCTGCGTCTCGTGGACCCGAAGTAAGTACTTTTACTTCGATATAGGAAACGTCGACTTCAGCTACGCTATTCTCGTAGCTGAAGTTGCGTTTCCTATATCGATCCCCCGCCCCAGTGTGGACCAGCCCTTACTCCTCAAAAGGATCATGATGTCCTTCTTCTCTGAAGGAAGACAATAAGGAGGACACATTGGCCAATGGTTACAGATAAGGAGAAAGCTGTAAGAGGTTAAACCCCCAGAATTAAGTGATACTCACTGCCTTGTAGGAGAGCTTGGTAGGGTTAGACATTTCAAGAAACCGTTCACAGTTACACTAGCTAGGACACAACAGTTTAAGAGCAATTGCCCCCCTCATGCTTCAGGACATAAACCAAAAACTAACAGTCGGGGGTTCGGAAGCAACTTCATCCATTGTGCGAGTTTTGTATCTTACTCTGAAGCATCTGGTGGTACTGGCCCTTGTTGGAGACGGAAATGGCTCCTGCATGGCAACATCTGTTGCTATCCTTCTGGCCATCCCACCCTTGGGACAGGAAAACCAAGAATACCCACACACTCCTTGACAAGCCCCCAATCTCAGAGTCTCCTTTTAAACAGTAAACAATAGAACCTCCTCCTTTTATTAGAAGGGCTAACAGCTGCCTACAACTACCCAATGGCTGCTAGTTATGGCCTTGAGAGACCTAATTTTTCCTAGGCTTGGACTCCAAATCAATCATATAATACACTGCAAAAACCAACAAAAGTAGTCAGAACCAAGGTGGGAGGTCAAATTCTGATTTAATCTTCATGGCCAGATCCTCTACTGGTGTAAATCAGAGAAGCTCCATTGAGTTCAGTGGTGCTACCCCAATTTGCACCAGCTTTGGATGTGGCCGAGTATACTTAGCAAAGCTGACTACAGATCAATTCTCTGCACATTTTTGTTTTTCTGAGAAAACAGCATCAGAGCAGACCCAATCACATCCATACTTACTTTGCCAATAATTTACACAGTGAGGCCACTTAAATGTGCTTAATCCATGAAAAGATTCAGTTGCTTGGATCCAGATTTAAAAGAAAAGCAGGCAACTGCAGCGTTAAAAATGTATCCCGTTTAGTCAACTGAACACATAACAGAGCGCTTTGCATTTCTTTATGGCCTTAAATAACAAATTCGTACATAACGTTGCTGATGGGATGGTTGCTGTGAGTACATTTTGGCAGAATACTAGATGTCACAGGCAACAGTTTGCTTAATGAAGTGTTTCAAGACTTCAAAACTGTGCCTTTTATGGGAACATGAAAACAGCCTTTTTGTCTATCTTTAGGGAAAGAAAAAGAGAAACAGCCAAAACTCAGCTAAAAGGTATCAGAACAAACTTATTTATGGCTGGCAAATTCCATTACAATACTTTACGCTAGCCTTAAATCAATTCTATAGCTGGTTTCAGCTTCTCATAGTGCTCAGCCAGGTGTACCTTCACGGTGCCCAGAAGAATTTCTTATAATAATATGACAGATCATTTGGAACCTCATATAAGAAGTGTCATATAGCAAAGGCTGCAGGAGCTGACAAAAAATGCTATTTTATATCTAAATTTGAAAAAGTCATGGGGGGGAGGGAAATAACAAAACATACAAAACCCCTCCTTTGTATTAATAAAATTGAAAGGTAGTTTGTTAAAATGTAAGGCATTTTAACATGTCAGGAATATGACTCCAGCAGCAGAAGAAGAAAAGATGTTCCTGGAAATGAATCCCAATTATATCTCTATGGCTTGGGAAACGGGTGCAGATAAGAGCAATAGATGAAAACAGTGGTGACGGACGTAATTCTGTGCAAGGTGGGATATTCCATGGCTCCACTCATCACTGAAGAACACTGCCAAATTTAGCACAGGCTGCAGTTCTTCCAAAGATCGCAAATTCGCAGTTCAAATATATTTTCACTTCACTGTACAAATGCTGACCAGCTGAAAACCTTTGACACTACAACACACTATCTGAATAAAATTCAATGACAAAAAAAAAATCCTCTTCATAAAAGATCAGCAAAGAACTGAAATCTCAAAATCCCAATTGGCATTTGCTAAGGGAGCATGTCACCATTGCTGACTGCGTGTAAATGATAGGATGATGACAAATACAATGTAAGATAATAAATGTGCAACAGTACAAAATATACAAAAAAAGAAACTTGTATTTAATATACATTCAAAAACATCAAAAAATGGTTCAATACCTCATAAAAATCCCTTCTTTCTGGAAAATGAAACGCTGTTTCAAGAACAAAAAAAAAATGTACACAACCTCTGATGAGATGCCCAAAGTAACTCCAACCAGAAGAACAGATCTCAGTTTCTGTAACTGGATATATAAAATAATTGAAATAAATTTCCCTAAACAAGAAAAAGAAGCTCTAATCTTCATAAAATCTCCTTCACATCTCATAGTGTAATAAAATATTCAGTTTTCACCTTAGATTCAATTTAATTTAGAAGTGGACTCTTCTCAGACTGGTTGATGCAACTGAGTCATACAAAAGCCCAAATCTATATATCCTTTATAGTAAAAACACCATTTTTGCCTGTGTCTTTTCCAAAGTTTTATATGCATTTCACAATTCAGACATTTTATTGTGATGCAGATATAGGTCTGATTAGAGGGACACGATTGAAGCCTCATTTCTTCCTAGCTTTACGCAACTCTTTCCTTCATAATTTTCATCAATGATTTTATACCCACATTTTAGTAGATTATTTTCAGTTCAACTTGCACTGGAATTTCAGGAAATTACAGTTTTTCATAGACTGGATATTAGGAAGATCGCATACTTTTAATGTGGTTGATAAGTCAGAGATTTTTAGCCCTGAAAAAGGATCTCAGGCCATCCTTCAATATTCAAAGCACCTTTTTGTGCCCTCATTTAAATGTACAATAACTTGCATCGACGGTAGAACCCATTTGTATGCTAAGATACATGATGGTGTAACCAACATTAATACCTGCAGGGGGGGGTCCTTGTCCCTTTTTAGACCACATGCAGGCTAAAGAGTCTGATTACTGCCTCTCAACTGCAAATTGGCTCGGTTAGCTTAGACACTAGAAGTTTGTGGTTCCCCTCGCTCCCAAAGGGTCCAGGATTCAATCCCTACAGATGCTCATCCCAGGGGGTTGACACACAAATGACAGCTTGATCCGGGGACTGAACTGGTGTCAACCTCTGATGCTCAGGACAAGCTTCCCCAGGCAGGGAGAATGCATAATTCACATTGTGGATCTTTGGTCCCCCCTAGTGTCTAGACCACGTAAAAAGATTTCTGAGTGCTGCTGCTGCTTCTAAACGGACGGCTCTGATCTTTCAACTCAGGCAGTGGCAGCGCACACATTTAGGGTATGTCTACACTTGGAGCTGGGGGTGTGACTCTCAGCTCGCGTAGCCAGACTTGCTCTAGCTCTCAAAATAGCACACTAAATACAGTAGTGTAGCCACAGTAGCACAGGCAGTGCCAGGCAGTGGCATGAGCTAGCCACCCTGAGTACAAATCCACCTGAACCCTGTGGGTACATACTCGGCACAGCTTGCCCGTGCGGCCGCTGCCTGTGCTACCATGGCTACACTACTATTCTCAGTGTGCTAGATTGATGACAGCAGATGCAAAAATGTCTATACAAGCTGGGAATCACACCCTTAGCTGTAGGTATAGATATAGCCTTAGATTCAGGAGTGTCATGTTCAAGCCAACCCAGATGGTCATCATGTTGGCATCTAAGTGGGTTTGATCCATGGGTGCAAAATTGGCCCTGCCACACTGAAGGCTGTTGCAGGACATCCAGCCCTTAGCCCCAAAAGCATTATTTTATCCAAGGATCAAAAGTCATCCATGGTTCTGTTTCAAGTACCATTCCCCATTTTGATTTTAAGAGAGAATTGAAGTTAGGCTGCAAAAAGGACAGTACAGAACCTTTTCAGAAAGTTTCGAATCTCCCAGAAAATCAGTTCTTACGATGCATATGGACGAAGTGATTATGCATTGAAAGGTACCAATAAATCGCACAGCATGCCTGAGCAATGCACAGGTGAATACAAAACTCATTTCAGTTGCAGTCTGTATATCTCTTCCTGAGTTAAGCTTCATTCCTAGTTTGGAATCCAAGCAGTCTGCTTCTTGTTTTTGGCAAGGTACTTGACCACAGAATAAGGCAATCCAATCTTTTGTTTTGATTTCAACCCTCTTTTTTCTTAAATGGCTCAGCATTTCTCACTGCAACCATTACTCTGCAGGAATATGTTTAAAATGTGGTCCTGTAAAGATAGAAATCAGGTTTGTTTCTTTGAAGGTAGCATTTAATCCTCATATATTTTGTGACCTTGAAGATTTCAGCTGAACAGATTCAAAACGATCTTGTTTTTCCTGCAATGTAAAGAGACAAGTTCCCGTCAATCATGATTTCTCAAATTCATTCTGAGGTGTACGAACATCTCTTCACTGAGTATAAAAAGTCCTGGAACAAATTTCTACTCTCAGTAACTTGAGTGCAACTCCTGTTGAAGACTTTACTGGGTTTGTGCCACAGTAAATGAGAGTAGAATTTGGCCTTTAATTTTAAACTAAATTGTAACATCTCTATAAATTAAAAATAAAAATTGTACAAACTTCAAAATTCCATTGTGAGGTAGAAAGGATATGAATTTTTTAGTGTTTCCTTTATAGGAAGTATATAGATAGGTCCACAGGTACATACACAAATGGCATATTTTGCACAGCATTGAACAGAGATGTCAAGGTTATGGATTTTATGATAGAATTACAAAGAAATTATGATGAATTACTGTAAAAAAAATACAAAACATTCAAGAGTGAGAGCAGTTTGAGCAAAGAACTGAGAATGAGACACTCTTGAACTCTGACACTGACTCCTGCGGTAGCCTTAACCAACCCACTTAGGCCTCAGTTCAGCAGAGCATTTAACATGTGTTGACCTTTCAGAGCGTGAATCATCACACCCTTCACTAAGGCTATGTCTACACTACAGTTTATGTCAGCATAACTTATGTCTCTGGGGCTAGGTCTACACTACAGCGGGGTTCCGACCTAAGATACGCAACTTCAGCTACGTGAATACCGTAGCTGAAGTTGCGTATTTTAGGTCGGCTTACCTGGCGGTGAGGACGGGGGAAAGTCGACCGCTGCCGCGCTGCCGCCGACTCCGCTGCCACCTCTTGTCGAGGTGGATTTCCGGAGTCGACGGCAGAGCGATCAGGGATCGATTTTACCGCGTCCTCACGAGACGCGGTAAGTCGATCCCCGATAGACCGATTGCTACCCGCCGGATCGGCGGGTAGTGAAGACGTAGCCTGAGGGATGTGAATAAACCACCCCCCAAGCAACGTAAGTTACACCGATATAAGTGCTTGTGTGCACGGCACAATGTCATCGACATAGCTTCTGCCGTTCGTGGAGGTGGTTTTATTATGCTGACGGGTTGCGCAGCTGCATCGGTACAGCTGCGCCAGTACAGCTCTGTACATACAGACATGCCCTGAGGTACCAATTCTCCAAACACTTAACCCATGCATTTAACTTACTATAGTGAGCAATCACTTTGATTTTATTGGGACTACTCACAGTAGTGAAGTTAAGCATGTAAGTGTTTGCAGGTTTGGGGCCTAAAATGGGACTATTCCCACGTTTATGCGTTTTAATTGGGGATTGAACTAGAACTGGGGGGGGGGAAATGCTTTTCCAGTCCAGTGAAAATTTTTGAGATTTCAAAAAAAATTTCCTTTCTGCACCAGGAGGAACCAGTGACTTTTGGAAATTTGTCCTGAAAAACAAGTGAGAGAGGGCACTCAGCTGGGATGTGGGAAACCCAGGTGCAAGTCCCCCACTCCAAATCTAGGTTAGTGCACTAGCCACCAGCCTGCAGAGTCAGTTTCTAGTTCAATTTCTCATGTTCCAAATATATAAATACTTCAATATTCACTGAGCCAACAAACGAGACTGAGTCTGCAGCACTGTGGTTAGGGCACTTACCTGAAATGTGGGCAACGCAGATTCAAGTCCCTCTTGCAAAGGAAGGATTCAAAGCCGAGGCCTGGTCTACACTGGGGGGGGGGGACGGCAATCGATCTAAGATACGCAACTTCAGCTACGAGAATAGCGTAGCTGAAGTCGACGTATCTTAGATCGACTTAGATTGACTTACTTCGCATCCTCAGGGTACGGGATCGACGGCCGCCGCTCCACCGTCGACTCCGCTTCCGCCTCTCGCCCTGGTGGAGTTCCGGAGTCGATGGGGAGTGTGTTTGGGGATCGATGTATCGCGTCTAGACGAGACGCGATACATCGATCCCCGATAGATCGATCACTACCCGCCAATCCGGCGGGTAGTGTAGACATACCTTGAGTCTCCCACATTCTGGGTGAGGGCCCTACCCCCCAGGACATTGGCTATTCTGTGGCACATCAAGCTCTCTCCTGTTTGTTAACAAAAAATATTCCACAGAATGAAAACAAATTTCAAAACCTCAAAATTTTTCCTGAAGTGGAATTGTTGTTTTCTAGCCTGCCCTATAATTTACCTCGTGTGGGTACACCCAAGTTGATTCTCATGCAGAGCATTTCACTGACAACATTGTAGATGATTTTAGCTGGAGCAAAGAGAGTCATTAGTGTACAAGGTAGCAAACTCAAAACTGATGAGGAAATACATTTTCACACTATGTGTCATTAGACTGTGGATCTCATTGCCACAGGAGGCTGCTGAAGACAAGAACTCCAGGATACTGGAGAGAAGAAAAAGGGTGGGTGGTTTTGAGGTTATTGGTAGGAAAAGGTTGAGAATCCTGCAACTGTAGAAGCTTCATGCATCAACACATTGATTAAATTAGGTCTTCATAATGCTAATACAAATACCAAACTTGTCTTGGTGTACCTACGATACAGACCTTGTTTACAAAATGGAGTGGACGTGTATATGGAAGGCAAGAAAATCTACAGCTATATTACTTAATGCTAACAAATATTTTGGAAAGAGATATGAAACTAAACTCACTCTTTGGGGTTTAAAATCACTCTCTAACTATTACAATGAGACCTAATGCATGTGCGGGGTCAGATTCTCCCCTAGCTGCCTACTGCAGGGTTTCCTGCACTTCCTCAGCCTGATTCAGCACATCAATTCCTATATTCTGTGTTGTTATTACAATAATACTGCAAATAAATAGTTTTCCTTTTTTACATCAGGGGCTCAGCTCTGCATTTCTTATCTAGTCAAAGCTCTCAATAACTTCATGAGAAGTTTTGGAACACAGAAAAGTAATCACCTAGGGTCTGATCAGAAATATATTAAAAATCGGATTTTTTCTCTCTGTTGATACATCTTTACATTGTCCCTGTCCCCCATATTTTTCTCTCTCTCTTTTCTCTGTTTTTTTTTAAGAAGTTGTACTTCTCATCTTTTGCAGTAATGAAGAATGATGCCTATCACATGTGTTTTGAGGAAATATATAATAAATCCCAGTTATCTGCAGGGATATAGGATGCAGACTTGAGCAAGCTAATGAGGTCTTGGAGGCTGAGTTTGGCAGCTCTGATTATACAGCAGATGGGGAAAAAAAGCCAGAGATATCTGACAGGCTTATTTGAAAAGGTAACAGTGTACAGGGAAGCCTATTAAAGTGAACATAGGAACTTGAGTTATGAATAGTCTGTTTGAAAACAGTGCTCAGGTGTGCAAGTGATTGCTATTCTCAATATAAAGCACTAAGCTTACTTTTAAACTACAAAACCTATTTCTTCCAGCAATCCTTCCTCTCTTCTTCTAATCATTACAGGCCCAGTCCTGCATACTTCAACCAAGCCTTTAAACTCATCAGGACTATTCATGGTAGTAACGCAAAATTCAGCAGCAGAGGTGGTCAAAAATTTTCACTACATTCAGCAGTAGAGAGCTTTCACTAAATCAACACTTCTGAGTCGTTTTCTTTTTTGCAAGGTTCAAAATGGGGGGAAATCTTTTTTGAGGGGGCAAGGGACAGAATATTTTGCTTTTAAAAAAAAATCATATTTTTGACATTTTGAATTTACAATATGCTATATTCCCTCCCCTTTTTTCTTCTTGCCACTCACTACAATAAAATGAATGATGTCCAGATGCGGGGTTCCCGCACACACACACACACACACTTTTCCATCTGGTCCTTCTAATGTTTCCAAAGTTGAAGATATGGGAAAGTTGCAGAAGGGAAAAAAATTAAAATGGAGAAAAAGAAAAAAGGGGGGCAGGAGGAGATACCCTTACACATCATTCATTCTGTCGCATTCAGTGGCAAATAGGAAAATCAGAAACCAGAAAGGCAAAACCCCCATAAATATGAACATTTGAAATTTGGGGTTTTGATGAAAAACGGGACAATTTAGAAAAAAATCTTGAAAACAATTTTCTGAAACTTTTCAGTTTAAAAAAAAGCCATTTTTCAGCAAAAAAATAAAAAGTTTCAAATAAAGTTTCAACCAGTTGTACTCAGCACTACAGGCCTGATCCACTTTGAAGCAGTGGATGTCTTTGGGGCTTTGGGAAAGGACTGAAGTACTTGCAAGCTCAGACCCTTAGAAGCTCCCTCTTCTTTGGCTTGTGTTTTTTTGGCTTTGTCTAATTTAGGGCCCCATCCTGCAAACACTACAGCTTACTACTGTGCTCTCCCTTGAAATGGCTGGGATTTCTCAGGGCAGTAAGCACCACACCAAGCATTAGCAGATGTGTATGTATAGACTGGAAGCCCACAGTTCTCAAACTGTGGTCTATGGACCTCCAGTGTCTACAGAGCACTTACAGATAAACCATGGAGAGCTGGCTAGACACTTGGTGCTTTCAGAATGTTAATTTTCCATGTAAGCAATTGCTATGGAAGCCCCTGGGATGATGTTTAATCAGTAATGGGAGGTGACCTGTGTGAGGTGTCCATCAGACAAACTCTTTTCAGTTGTTGTCCATACTCTGAAGATCCGTGTTATAAGTTCTTTGGGCAAGAGAGAATCCTGCAACTCAGTCCCATTGACATTAATGGAGCCCTAGATCTATTGATGTGTGTGTTTGCAGGTTAGTTAGTGTAGCTAGGGTGACCTACAGTCCCGATTTTGGGGGGCTTTTTCTTATATAGGAACCTATTACCCCCCGCCTCTGTCCCGATTTTTCACACTTGCTCTCTGGTCAGCCTCAGTGTAGCCTCTTTTTAAAACTGAATGAATAGCTCTGTGTTAAACTGTCGTGTCCCTAGGAAGTGAGTTCGGCTCCTGTGGTGCTACAGTTTTCAGATCAATTAGACTGGGAGACTCTTAGAAGCACACAAGAACAAATACAGGGACCACAAACAAGATTTTTCACTTGTAAATTATAATCACAAACAAATATATAGAAACCTAAGAGATCCCATGCACTCGCTAATGCTGTATTCATACTCACATACCCAAGGATATTACAGAGTCTGATGGATCTTTCAACAGGTGGTCATTGATAGAGGAGTGGTTCTTGCTGGGGTCATCCCAATGAGGTCTTCCCTCAGGGTCTTCCCACCCTATCCATACCAACCAACCCGTTATCTTGTTGTTCTGACCACGCTTAACACTTTATGCTTATGCACGAGGGTTCCAACTTCCTTTTCCTTATCTGTACTTCCACACCCCATCCATTTTGGGGTGCTCTGCTTTACACAGGTTGTTCTCTGAGTTCCCCTTGTTCTCATTAGCATTTATGTAAACATGTTTCCATGGTGACTTGCGGTCAGGTGCCTTGCAGTCTAGATGGGCACATTTCGGTCTTCATTCTTTACAGTAAATCATGTAACTTTTACTCCTGGGGGAATTCTGTGCCACTGCGCATGTGCAGAATTCATGTCCCCCGCAGATTTCCTTGCTTCCCCACAGAAATATTACTTTCTGACAGGGAAGCAAAGAGAAGCTGCAAGAGCAGTCACGCACCACTCCCTAGCAGTGCAGGTACATCATTTTAGGCACTCGAAGCAGCCAGCAGAGAGGTTGATCACCATGGGGCTGGGGGACATCCCAACCAATGGCTCCTACCCTGAGCTGGGATCAGCTGCTAGTCCCAGCTGGGCTGGAGGCAGGAGAGGACGGGCCTTCCTCTTCCCCTGCAACGAGTGGCTGGGGCTGTGTCAGACCCACCCCCAGAAATCTCCCCCAGCAGCAGGAAGCTCAGCATCCTCCCCTGCTTCCTGCCCCCATTGCTCCTCAACTGCGGGGGGAAAGGTCACTGTATGGGGAGCTGCTTCCCCATCCGCCCAACCCCCATGCATCCAGACCTCCCATACTCAGACACCCTCGCCAAGCTTCACCCTGTACACCCAGAACCCCCTACCCCTCCATACCCGAACCCCACCCCACTGAACCTCAACCCCTGCATCTGGAGCCCCCCTGCACCCAGACCTCCACTCCTGCACCCAAACCACCCCCCACGGAACTCCCTGCACTCAAACCGCCACACTGATGAGCCACACCCTCCCTGCACTCTGAGCCCCCACTTGAAGACCCCCATGCCACTGACCCCCAACTAGCTGCACCCAGACCCCCACCCCACTAAGGCCCACTCCCCCAGCCCCCAGACTTCCCCACTGAGACCTCCACACTCAGACTCCTCTGCTGAGCCCCAACCACCTTCACCTGGAAGCCCATGCAGAGTCCCATTGCTCCTGCACCTGGAAGCCCCCCAACGAGCCTCTGTGCATCCAGATCCCCCCACACCTAGACCCCTCACTGAGCTGCCTGCACCCATATTTTCCACACAGAACCCTCTCACCCCACACCCGGATCCCCCCACACTGAGCCCCTTCACACTTGGATCCTGCCTGGTTGAGCCTGCCTGCCCCACACCTGGTGCACCTGGCGCAGAGGGGCAGGGCCCCAGGGTGTTTCTGGGGCAGGCCCAGGCCTTGTGCTGTGTCAGGGTCGGATGCAGCCTCACCACTGAGTCCATGTCCCAGGAGTGTGGGGGCTGCAGGGTGATCTCCCACTTTTATGCAGCCAGTGGCCTTTGCTCCCCACTGTCATGCTGGAGCCTCTGCATTTATTTAGAATTTTGCAGAATTTTTAATTTTTTGGCACAGAATGCCCTCAGGAGCAGGTAACCTTACTGGCATAAAGTCAGTCTTAGGTTGCTCACTCGTGTCAAGTCTCCTTAAGCTTGAGGCCTAGTGTGGTTAAAGCTGAAATCTTTCAGCCTTAGCCTGTAGGCCTTGCATTACTGCCTTACCTTACTTGTATACCTAATACACACTTGTCACTCCTAAATACTTGTCAAATTTATATTCATATAATCCTGTCCTACTTCTATCTATTCATCACACATTGACTGCACATGAAATAACATAACTACAACAATTACACAACAAAATGATAAAATAAGCTAATTAGCTACATTAAACTAACTGTGCTACATCAGTGTCGATAAAAAAATAATAATATTAATGCTCACCTTTGTTGCCAATGACTTGAGCTTTCCCAGCAATGACTGTTTATTTGAATATACTATTTCCTCTTCGTTATCTTCTCCTTCCATTATAGCACAGCTGTCAGCAGCTGGAAGCTCACACTCTTTCGAGTTAGCTGTCATCACTAATTTGGAATATTTATACTCCAACCTAAAGGTACAAACTTGAACAGTTATTTTCTTAATACCCCATATTCTAGCTGCGACAGTGCAGGTGGTCAGAACACTATCCGCAGCTATTCCGTAGGGTTATTTGTTAAGCATTTATAAAGAATCAGAAGTTATATTTTAAGAACCAGAAGTAAGAAAGCATGACTAGAACTGCATTAGCAACTCAGCCATTTCCTGTTTTCCAGACTAGAACAGAACAAACTCCGTCCCATTAGGTCTTTAAATCAAAGACTTTTTTTTAGACTTTTTCTAAAAAATACACTCAAGACCAAGCAGAAACTGTGAGCTTGATTCAGGAATCACTGGGTAGAATTCTGTTGCCTATATTATGCAGGAGGTCAGACTTGATGATCATAATGGTCCATTTTGGTCTTAAAATCTCTGACCTTACCCATCTCTATTGCTTCCAGCCTTAAGCCAACCTCTGTCAGGGGTTAGGAGGAAACTTCTCATGGCTATCCCACAACTGCCTACTTCAGGGTATCTTGCACCTTCCTCTGCAGCATCTATTATGGCCATTGCTGGAGACAGGAAATCGGACTAAGTGGATCACTGGACTGATCAGGTCTGACATTTCCTACACTGTGTTAGGGTTTAATGCAAAGTCCAGTGGAATCCATGGGAGTTTTTCTAGTGACTTCAATGAGCTCTGGATCAGGCTTTTGATTTATTTTTGTATGTCACCTCAAGTGCAGTACTTACTTCTGATTTTTCTTCCAGAAGTAGCAGGTTAAGGCTACGAGCAGCACAGCTGTGAATGCACCAACACCTGCTCCAACTTTTAACCAAAAGTCCATGGTTTCACAGGTGCTGACCCTTTTCTCAGGCAAGGCAATCCCCTTCCTGCATTGCTTTGGCTCATTCCAGACATATAAGGTTTCCTTAAAAAAGAAAAATGAGAGAGAATACAGAAAAGTGATGTGAATGTAGAGAACGTTTATGGACATTTTGAGGTTAAGCCAACAACATGTTTTTGAGGCAGTGAAATTACAGAAAACAGAGGTGTTATTTACTTTAAAATATATATATATCATATCAGGGCCAGATTCTCCACTGGGTTATGCACCTTTTCTCCATACACTACAGGGACGTATACTGGCTGTAAATGCCTGGGAGAAATCCCTGCTGGCACAAGTGTATTGCTCTCAGGTCCTCTGCCTATGCCCCCCCCCATTCAGCATGGAGGAGTGTGTTGGGAGAAGAGATGTAGAGTAAAGGGAGTAGGTGTGGTGTAGTCTGGCTACGACGTCCAGGACCCTACCCTAGTGGAGCAACTTAGGGTATGTCTACACTGCAGTCAGATGCGTGACTGCACCCCAGGTAGCATACCCATGCTAGCTCTAATCTAGGCTGATCCTCAAAAATAGCAGTGAAGACAATGCAAGCCCGCGCTGTTGCAACAGTGCGCACCCTGGTTCTGGTCAGACTAGTCCATGCTGCTGTGTCTTCTGTGCTAGCTAAACTAAAGCTAGTGCAGCTATACCGACACGAGTGGCAATCATGCCTCCGATTGCAGTGTAGACGTACCCTTAGAGCAGTGTGGCAGGTACTCTATACTACACAGGGGCTTGGAACAGTCCTAATTATCAGGGAGCTGTAACAGGGTTCCCAACGCCCCGACCCCTTGCTCCTGTGCTGAGCTGAGTTCTCGTGCAGGGCAGAATCTAGCCCATGTTTCCAAAATGGCTTGGCCTAGTAACCTGAGATTTAACAGTAAGAATAATTTTGGAATGAGACCCAACTGCACTCCCCTGCGTCATGGCTGCGGGCACAGGGAGGGGACAAAGGATGTACGCTCAATGCTTGCTCCTCACACAGGCTAGCAGAGATTGGGATGGACAGAGAGGGGAATGGGTGGAGCCTGCCTCTGACATGGTGGTCAGAAGAGCAGGTCTGGAATGGGGAAGGGTTAGTAATCTGCAAATGGAGAAGGCCAGTAGCAGATAACTTCTCCCGGGAGCAAAGAGGGAGTGGAATGAATTGTGACTCTTTCCCTGGTCTGCTCTTGGAGCAGCACGGCTAGGTGATGTACAGGCACAATCTAGCCCTGTGGCTTTTACACAGGCAGTTTAACAGCACCCCCGAGCCTACACAACTCATCCAATTTGACTAAAAGGCTTCAGTCCTCTACCTGAAATCCCTTTTTACAAGCTCCCTCAATCTCATGGTAGTCATGCTCTGTGCACAAAGGACAGGCTTCTGCACTTTCCCACATGAAGTAGAAGGTGCATCCATCACAGGTGCCAACGGGGCATGTGCTAGGAGAAAAGCAAAGTTTGGTTAGCACTTGTGACACAGGTTTCAATCCGGGGAAAGGCGAACCGGTCTGGATTCTCTGCCTCCAGACTACTGCTCAAGAGCGCTAATAATAATTATGATAATTAATAACCACCCATTGATTCAACATTTCCAAAACAAACCAAAAAAGCCCAGGGAAAGATGTTTCAATCAGTGAAATATCTAGCTTCAAATAAAGAAGGTGTTAGTCTCGCAAATTACTGGCAATAAGAGTCCAGATACCACTGATACTACGCTGATATAAAACTCTATAAACTAAACTAGAAGCAGTCACTGAAAGCACTGGAGTTATTCCAGATTTGCACCAACGTACGCAAGGGGGAGAATCTGGCCCATAATGTTCAGCTTTGTAAAGATGTTCTAATATTCTTAAAAAGCACTTCCTAAGATGAAGTTGCATCAACTTCTGATTTCATAACTGTGTTTTATGTCTATCTCTTGTACTTGAGGGTGTCTTTCTGATGTGTTCCAATCAATCAATTAGAGTAACTAAAAGATTTATTAATTGACTAACTGAGCCAAGTTGCCATGGACTGCTATACACCAAAGGCCAAATTTTCAAAAGTGGCCAATGATTTGGGATGTCTCAAGTTGGACATGCCAAAATTGAGGTAACCTAAATCAGTATCTGCCTTTGAAAATTGTGGGCTAAGCAATTTTAACTTTGTACCCCACTGCCTGCCACACCTAAATGAAAGTTGTCAGTAGTTTAAGTAGATGTCACTGTTCTATAAAGATGTCAAAATTACAGCTGTATTTCATCAGCATAATTTATACAGCTACCACTAGGTGGCCAGGTAATACAGACCTCTGCTCTAATGACTCTGAATTCTTTTTCAGAATAAATTTTATATTTGAGGAAAGCTGAGAAACAAAATGTATATGAAAAATAGCAGGCCATATTCATCCTTGATGTAACTCCAATGATTTCATTGGCAAATATTTAGAATTACAGGGGAAAAGCTATAAATTACTAGAAAAAAATTATATATATTTGGACAGAGTTCATCCCTGGTGTAACCCCATTGGCAGGAAAAAAGTTAAATTTTGTCCCAATCTATTTTTCTAGTAACATCTAGCATTTCCCCTACAGTTTCAGATATTTATGTGAATTAGAAACAGAACCCCAGTGTTCTATTATGTTGTGGGTAACCCCACCACTGCTGCCACCCCGATTCCCAGAAGCTTGCGTAAACCCCATTTCTTTTTTTTATTTCAAGGTGTTCAGGCAAAAACATGTATTGCAGTAATTACAGCTGCTGTTTCTACTTGCTCTGAGTTGATAGGGGAACATTAATTGTAACTGTGATGCTTTGAGTGATTTCCTCCGTAGGTGGTAGACATGCTCTGTAATAGTTACTTAGCGGAAGGATGTTTACTAGCCTACTGAACAGGTAACAGCTTCTCCACAAACCTGAGAAGTACAAATGGCCCTATTTCATGTTCAGTTAGTAGAACAGAATACTATCTGCACTTCCACGACACTTGCTCAATTGTTGTTACCGGCAGCTAGATTGGTTCTAACAGTGACAGTAACTGGAAGTCTATTCAACAGCCAAAAATACACAATTGGTTCATTAAATCTGGATCATACTTGCTATAGAAAAACTGACATAAGAGAGATTTGTAGTGTCACCCTGAAATCTGTCACACATGTGACTTATCTTAACAAAATCCAGAGAGCTAGAAGACCAACCTCACTTGCCTTGATTTGACTAATTCAGACCACCACCTCTGAATCAGAGAGTATTTTCTCAGGAACATTGGTAGGCCTATTTCCCATGTTCCTTTCATCTCACACCCTGGCTAAACCAGGAATAAACTACAAAGAAGGCATTGCTTATTTAGACATTTTTGTTACAAATACAGATGTCTACTCTGATATTAAATGCTCTGCTTGAACTGTTATTGGATCGTGATCTTCCTCAATCAATCCAAGATACTTATATGATCCCCTTTACCATAATATCTGAGCACCTCACAATCTTTAATGTATTTATCCTTGCAACGCCCCTCTGAGTTAGAGAAGTACCACATTTTATAGATGGGGAACTGAGGCATAGAGAGGCTAAGGGACTTTCCCAAGGTCACACAGGAAGTCTGTGGCAGAGCAGGCTTAATTCCTGTTTAAACTAGAGCTTATATTTTAGAAAAACATCCACATTTTAATTTAAAAATTTCCAGTGATGGAGAATCCACCATGACCTTTCGTGAATTGTTTCAATGACTGATTACCCTCACTGATCAAAATTTGCACCTCATTTCCAGTCTGAATTTAACTATCTTTTTATATCTTGGTCTGCTAGATTGAAGAGCCCTCTGTTATCAAATTTCTGTTTCCCAGGTAGGTACTTATGGATCAGATCAACCCTTCACCTTCTCTTTGTTCAGTTAAACAGACTGAGCTCCTTGCATCTATCACTGTAAGGTTTCCAATCCTTTAATTATTCTCTTGGCTCTTCCCTGAACCCTCTCCAATTTATCAACGTCCTTCCTGAATTGTGAGCACCAGAACTGGACCCAGTGTTCAAGTAGAGGTTGCACAAGTACAAAATAGAGAGGTTAAATAAGCTGCCTGTTATGCACTCTTTCCTGGCTTTATTGCCTAAGAGCAGGCTGTTGTGTATCTGCTCTTAGGTGCTACCGCAGGGGCCTCACTGCCAGCAATAGCTAGAATGTGCTGCCTACAGTTCACCTGGAGATGACATATATATGGATCACTCACCTGGAAGAAATGTGTGTCATCTCCTGGACAGTCACAGATGGGAGAAAGCACTTCTCACTACTTGCTAATCTAAGGCAACTAAAAGAGTTTTGCCAAGGATGGCTTAAGAGGACTGGGCATCTAGGCAATACTGTAATACCCTTAATTAAATACCTGGGGACCGAAATATCGCCTTGGCCTGGTTTGGTGGGATTACACCTCATCACTACAACAGTTGCACGTCCATTTTCACAGGGGGTTGTAAGTGTAGAAGACCTAATATGAAATAAGAGCAAAGTTTTCAATGAATATTGATTTTACTTTAAAAAATTACATATTGCACAATAAATGCATATTTACATGTATGCACACAATTCTGCCTAGGTGTGCACCTAGAGCTAGCGAGAGTCTGGAGACTCTGCCTGATTTCCAGCAGTGCTGAATCATTCTGACCCAAGTCACCACTGGGCTCGCCTCTGAGGAACAGCCTCCCCCCAATCCAAAATAGCAGTGTTAGAAAATCATAACCACAGAGATCATGGTCTGAATGGTACTCTGCAGGAAATATTACAGTCGACTCATTCACGCCACTACCCCAGGAAGCTGTAAACTACACTTCCCTGCAATTGCAGAAGGTGGGCAGGACTCGGAGAATGACATATGTTGCATCAATATGCCCCCTGTAGGCTAACGGTTTAAAACTACAATAACCTTACCCACAGCAGGGTCTCTGGTAGGTAGGGTGACCAGATGTCCCGATTTTATAGGGACAGTCCCGATATTTGGGGTTTTGTCTTATATAGACTCCTATTACCACCACCACCCCCTGTCCTGATTTGTCACACTTGCTGTCTGGTCACCTTACTGGTAGGGATAGTACCTGGAGGAACAAACTAGGAAGAGGACACTGTAGGCTGAGCGTGTCTCAAACCAAGTGATTTTTTTTTCTCCAGTTCATTTTTGTAACAAAAATGTAAAAATAAAAATGAATGCAAAAAGAAGTATATAAATGTAAAGCTCGCATTTAAAAAAGAAATTAAGGAGAAGCCAGGGCCCAGAACACAAGGTTGAAGATGGCACCTGGAAATATCCAGGCTCTCCTCTGTGTAAATCAGGAATAACTCAGACTTGTGCAAGCTGCTGCATTAGCTGATTTCACAACCTACTCATCAGCACGCCCATCAGTCTGAGCCCTGGAAGAGTGCCTTAAAGACCTTCCCCCTAAGTCTACATTCCCTTTAAACAATTAAAGAGCGCTGATGTTCCTCCTACGGAGAATTTTCCACCTACTTGAAAAAGAAATTCACATCAGGTATTGTCCTTTGGGAAGATGGAAACATTTCTGTTTCAATGTTAATATTTCCCAGTGTGGTTTCAACCGTAGCTCCTAAAAATAAGAGCAAACAAAAAAAGAGAACAAATTAAGCATGTGGTTTTTGAAAGGTACATGCTTTACAAAGTGTGCTTTGCAGAATGGCATTTGATTTGCTAATTAAGAATTTGTCCAGTAATTTCGCATTATGCACAATTTTTTAAAAATAAACCACATGAACTTCTACCCATCTCATAAGATACAATTTTATTATCGAAGGGTATGCAATAAAACAAAGAGCTAATACTAAAATTCATGGTGTGAGATAAGAGTTTTACGTTTTTCAAAGGGAATGTGCAATTTGTGGAGGATTCCATATCTACAACCTTAACGAGTGGAATCCTCTGTCCAAATAACAGGTCCCGCATAGGAATTAACAGTGTGAGCTTCCCTGCGCTGCTCTATACTGTCCTCTACCAATACACGGGTGGACCGCCTCTTGGGGGTTCCAAGTTTGTGCTCATGCTCATTCTGTGTCTGCGGAGACTGCCAATGTGGGGGGTTGTACTTTCAATGCGGATGGCCCTAGACCACTAGAGACAGGCGAAAAGTAAGGGGACACATTCACAAACTTTTTTTTTTCCCAATAAATGTTCGCCCATTAGTTCGTGCTGAAATTCCTGAGCAGCTCCCTTATCCCCCTGCACTGTGACCCTTGGGGTTGGGGGCCTACCCAGGGTAGCATGGGAGACAATGAACTCCACATGTTGCAGCTCCACCTCCTGCGCAGGTGAGGAGGAGAAAGGCAGGGAATGGGAGGGGCTTTTGTTCTTCTCTGCCTTGCATTGGCCAACACAGCTAAGCCGACACAGTGGGAAAACAAATTGGTTAATGGTATAGACCAGTAGCTGCTTAACCTCCCCTGGAGGGGAGCAAAGGGGGAGCCAGAGACTGAATTGTGACTCTACTGGCTTGCTCCTGGGGTGATGCAGCTATTCACTGCCCCTTACTCTGGGCGGAGACTAAACTCTCAGTCTAGTCCTAAATATATTATTTTGAAACCATGACAACAGGTTTCTTCCCTAAAATACCTCCTCCATTCCCCTTGCCAAATATCTTCCAGCAAGGTGCCTGAAAGCCTTCTTGCCTTTGTTTCTCTGCTGTCTTCCTTGTTCACTGCTGGGCCTGAAAAGTATCGACATCTGTCATAGGTCGGGCACTCCCCACCTATTGCACAGGGCATCCGTTCTGCACCATCTCCTCAGTGATCAGAGAAGGGGGAAACACATTAGGAGCGTGTGACCCTGAGAGCTTCCCAGTGACAGAGAGCAAGGGCATGGTGGTCTCAGGTAATGAGTTTCAGCTGGCCAGACCAGGTCAGTGTGCCCCGACTTACTTATGTCATAATCTGTATCTAATGGATGTCATGTCCGATGTCATTGGAAAACTAATAACTCACTGAGCCTTGGTATTCTTGTGTGATGTATATATGGGGTATGTATTAAGAGTTAGGGATATATGCTGGAATTATGACTAAAATGTATTTAAACCAGGCATGTCAGGGGAAGTTGGTAAAGAGGTCTGCCCTAGGCAAAGGAATGTTTATTTTCTTCTCTGGCCAGCCCGGTCATCAAGCAAAGACAAGGAAGGTCCATTTACATATTAGGTAAACAAAGTGATCAAGCTAACAAGCGAAGGAAGAGACAGCTTCCAGTAGGGAAACGAAACTTTATCTGGGCTATAAAGACGGAGGGTCTGAACATCAGGTGATAAGCAATTGAATCAACTGATTACTGTGTTATAAAAGTGTATCAAGTCAGTTCTTTTCTGAAAACTAATGACACACTAGTGATTAATATCATTGTGAAATGCATGTATTAGCACTGTATCTGGAACTGTGAATACTCACTGATATTGGGCTTTACAGTCTGTGACCAAACAAAGGGAGAAACAGGTTTCACTCAGACAGGAAGGAAGGCAGCTATCTAACTGTCTCCAATGAAATTAAGCAAGGTGTGACCAAAAACAATGGAAGTTTCATTTACATGCAAATCAGTGTGGGGATGGGAAGATCACAGGAAGGGAAGAACAGCATGAGGTCATCCTACCTCCTGAAACAAGATCATTGAACTTTGGAAGATACAAGCAGACACAGAAAGCCATGCTGGCATCCAGCACAAGACAGACATAAGGGAACAGAGCTGAGAAAGATTGGTCCTTCAGCCGAGGGGGGCTGAAGTTTCTGGAAACTGAATATAGGTGAGAAACCTGCTTAGGCAAAGATCTTTCACCTAGGAAGACAAGGGAAACCAGCCCCTTCTGTTTCTGTGGAAGGTCCTGACTGAGAGAAAGGAAGCCATGACTGGAAAGAAGAAAGACTGGTAAGAAATCAATCTTGAACAAAGACTGTAGCTTGTTAAGTCTTAG